TATCTGGAATATTAAACTACTCCCATTATAAAAGGAGCTAGGATCAATCATTCGGACGATAGTTACCAAATCCAAAAAGCTCGTACAGTTATTCAATCCGACGATTCCCGCAGTCACTCAATTCAGTAACTCCCGCAGTTTCGCAATCTGACAACTCATTGAGTTACTCAATTGGACAACTCGCGCAATCACTCAAGGAAACAGCACAATCAGGCCCTCAACCACGACAATGATTCAATGACAGAGAAGCGACAATACGACAGTTCTACAGCACGAGCGACAAGATTATTTCATATTCTTTAATACTTATTGTGCATTGTTCATTTCCTCCCCATTATTGTTTCAGTACGATATTGTATCATATCGTATAAGACCAATAAAGGTTACTGTCAACGCTGCGAAGTTAAAATAACAAAAATAAGTCTACAAAAATCTTTCCCCAACAAAAGCTATGAGTAATTATTGTTGTTTTTAGGAAGATTTTATATCGCTAACGTTATGATTAATCTTAGGAAGATTTTACTAATTGAAACTGAAAGTTTCATTGTTTCTATCCGTTTTTAAGCAAATACAGTAAACAATTTTGTTGTATGAACCGAAAAAAAATGAAATAGTGGTGATTAAAATGTGAAGAGATGGCAGCATTGTTCAAATAATTGCATTCTTTTTTCTTTTTGTTTCCTTTTTTTTAATGAAAAGTATTTTTGTTACGGGAAAGTAAATAGATATTACAGTAAGAATTATGGTGGAAAAATTATAGCAGGATAATATTACAGAAAGATAATCAACAAAAAATGAATTACCTGGTATTTCATTGTCACCAAAAAAAGGTTTTGAAGCTACTGGAATAACCCATGTGTAAAGGAAAGAAATGAGTATGATAGCAAGCATTTTTTTGTTAAAGCATTTTATTCTTGCATACTTTCCCTTATATATCAATTTCATTTCAGCTTTTAATTTTTGCAATTTTTTATCTTTGATTTTTGATTTTTATCAAAGGTAACAGCCATATTCAAATATAGCAATTAATAGGAGCAAAGTTTAAACTTTTTTACAACAAACACAAAAAGTATATGTTTGCATTTATGCAATTATCTTTTAATAGTTAGAAATACAAATTTTTCAATTATTACCCAAATATGCATATTGCATGAATTCAACAATGCAAAACAAATAATTCATGAGTAATACAAATGTTTACAATACTGCTGATAAAACAATGGATTAGTAACATATAGGAAGAGTAATTAACGTAAAGTATGTGGTATATTAGAAAGGAAAAAAAGAATGATTATTTGACATGTATCAATATTTCCAATCTTTTTTTTTATTTTTGAAAAATTTAGATATAGCTTCAAAGTAAAATTTGTAGTTCATATTTTTTTTCTTTTTTTTTTTGATGTGCAAATTATGATTGAATTGTGTAATTTATATGAAGTACAAAAGAAATCCACGCCTTATAACATGATAAAGCAATGTAAAATTGGCATTTTTTGTTGATTGATTTATGTTTTCAGTAAAATTAAACAAATGAATAATTAATCCTTCCTCAAATTAATCAAATTCTTTTCATATTTTTTACGTTTATTACGATTATTTAGACGTAAGAAATCTGTTTTCTTGTATGCCATTAATTGCATATGTTTTAAGTCGAAAAGTTTATTCTTTTCAAGTAAACGTTTGAAGATTATTCACGTACGTCAACGTATGTCCGTCGGATGAAGAATTATGCAAATAAGATACGATTAGCTATCATGCATTAATGCAACCGACGAAATTAAAGAGATTGATATGAAGAACAAATAAGGCATTTGTTTTGTTTTAAAATATCATCTAAAAAGCAACATGAAATAAGTTATTAATTTAGACGGTTTTAGGTTTTTGTTTTCAAAAATAAAATCAAGTATTCACTGATAATAATTACTTAATTGTATCATTGTACCCTTTGCTAGTCTTTACGATTACTATTTTACTCTTACGTTTTCTTAAATTTTCGTATGATTCACTTGAGCATTTACGTATTATACGTGATTAATATATGGAGTGATAACTCTCAATAAATTTCAGCGGTAAAATTATATTCTTCATTCAGGATATTTCACATCGATATGATTGTAACTATGTTATCAGCAATAAATAATCATTAAGTGATTGGTTAATGTGAGTTATTATTTGATGATAATAAAAATGATAGCTGACGGATTTAAGAAAACAAAATCTGTCATCGACCATTCCATTCAACATTTCAATAAATTATTTGTACGATTCATGTGAAGATGTTCATTTTTCATTTTCAACGATAGATCAAGAAATCTATCCATCATTAAATGCCCACTTATCATAAAATCACTTAAATGAAATCAAATCATAAATGGAAATAATTTTAAATTTCATCACGATTTAATGTTTTTCTGTTTGCTAATATTTTACAAAAAAGTACTATAAGATTAAATAGTATTCTTATGTGCAGAAACACCTAAAAACCCAAATATTTCTTATAAAATATTCGATATTCGATATAGACATGATTATTCGATGTTCAATATGAATTCGAGTATTCAATACAAATATTTAATATTCAATATAAATTTAAATATTCAATATAAACCTAAATACTTGACTTAAATTTGAATATATTGTAGACTTAAATACTTGATACAAATTTGAATATTCAATATAAACTCTTCCGTGCTCATTTTTTTTAATCTTAAAAAGTGCAATAAATTTGCTATCACTGATTGAAATTTTCAGTTTAGCTGTATACTACTGAATATAATCAAATATTGTGAATATAATTTCAGATTTTAAATGCATACATTTATATTTTTCAATTTCTTTTTTAAACCTTGAAAATCCTCTCATCTTCTGCACTTCCACCGCCCCAAAATATCTCCTCGAGATGGATGATTTTTCTATTTTATTTTCTCTTCCACCCTCTCTCTCTCTTTCTCTGTTATTATTTAAACTAGTGATTAGCAAGAACTTTAGTTTTTCAGTTCCTTTTTTTTTCTTTTTAAAACAAAAATGAAATGTTATTTTTTTTCATACACTTTTCTTTCCTCTCTTAAGTCTTTTAATCTTTCCTGAACTATAATAATTTCCAAGGAAATTTTTCTTTCTTTAAATTATGAAAAATGATGCATTATTTCATATCTTTTTTTGCAAATCAATCGATTATATATATAT